CTCAAATATGTAAAACTGTGATAAGGAAAACTTTAATAGAGAAAACCTAGGAAATTATCACAATGTAAGATAACTTCTGCCCTTAGCTCTGTTTAGTTCAGAATTAACCAGCACCGGAGGCATCTAGTCTCCCCCAAGTTTTGTAAATGAAAAGAACCATTGTTAGCTTTGTTGACCAACCAAGGTCCCTTCCCCTGGCTAGAATAGGTAACTGAATAAATCTTAAAGGTAACTTCCCTAACAAAGAACTGCATCTGGGTTGAAATTCAACTGCCTTGCCACCACGTTTTGGGTATCAGCAATGTGAGCTGAGAAAATGCAATGTAACCAACTGAATAAGATCAAGGCTGTAAAACTCTATAAAAGAAGGAGTTGTAATCCAATGGGGGAGTAGATCAGGGCACCGCCATTAGGTGTGATCAATCCCTATTTTATTTTACTTCCATTCTGTCTGTGTGTCACTTGCCAATTCCTTCCATAACAACTGTCATGTCTACATGACAGTCAAACGTGGTGTGATCAAAGTATATGGTGAATCTTCAAATTTTATTTAAAAAATTATTACAATCAAAGGCACATTGCCACTAATTCTGTTCAACATTCTTGGCTTTGAATGCACTTATCCCATTATTCTTGCCACTTTGAGGTAGTTCTAGAAGTTCTTTCCCAAATGTCTTTATGAGGTATGATTTTAAAAAATACAGTAAATGCTGCTGTCAACTGTCATCTAGAAAGACAGCCTCGTAAAAAATATCATGGTGTATTGTCTCCCACCTTATACCATGGATCTGGCACCGTGTGACTTCTGGATGTCCTCTTAGCACAGAGCCAGGTGTGTGGGATCCATCATCAGGACCTGTGATCCATGAAGTGGGGGGCAGCAAGCTGAATGGCTTTGGGCCCACACTGCTGGATAACTCCAAGGCCTTGAGAAGGTACTCTCCCAGTTCAGCCTCCTGGCTCTGACAGGCTCTGAATGGATCTGTGGCAGAGAATGTCCCATGGTCTTGGCTGCTCAGGAGTCCAGAGTTCAGCTGCTAACAGAGGTAGGCACTGGGCTCTTCAGACAGTACAAGACTCCAGGCACGAAGCAAACTAGGAGGAGCTTTCCATTTCCCTGCAGTCTTAGGGTCCCCTCCTCCTAAACCCACACACATCTCTCCCTGGCAGGCCCAGAGGAAACTATCTGCCCATGACTGTGGCATGTTCCTGTTTTTGGGTCCCCTAAATCTGTAGAACAAGAGCCCAAGGAGGGAAAGGAAGGGTGCTGACCAAGGCAGTCAAGTGCCCTGGGGATCAACTGGACCTAGGCCTGGGCTGAATACAACTGTCTACACAGGCTGGACCTGAGATCCCAAAGCTGGACATGTCAGACATCCCACACCCCAGCCAATCCACCTGGACCAAGCCCAAGAGAATCCCCTTCACAGCAACATCCAGACATTGGTCAGTGCTCAAGAGAAGTCAGGGGCAGTCGTCAAGTGTCTTGACCCATGTTTTAGCTGTCTACATATACATTTCTTTTTGCCGCCACATCCCCAGTGCATATCACATACCCAGTACTTAAGAGTGCAGGAAGTATCTGCCCAAGAAAATGAATGAGTGAATAGTCATCCCAAGGGTACAGAGCTCTCCCATCAGATCTGAACCAGGAAACAGCCTGGAAGCTGGCCAGGTCCTGGGGGCATCCCAGCCCCCTAAGACGGTACCAGCTAAGCATCCTCCATAGACTGCTGCTGCCCCTTCCCAGAGAAGCCACAGGACAGTGCCACACAGCTGACCACTGCTAAAAGGACCCTGTGAAGGGCAGTCTACAACTAGGCTCCAGGTGGACAATTACAAATGATCAGCGGCACCAGGTCGGTTTCCTACAGTTAAGGTTCAACAGGGCCATGCTCCTGGGGAGGACCTGCTCGTGCCCTTCTCAGCTCAGAGAGGTGGCACCTTCCTGGGCCCATCGCCCCTCACAGCAGTGGCATCACTCCCATGGGAACTTTGTGATCATTATTGCAATGGCACATTCACCTTATTAGTCCAGATGTGCTGAGATAAAGATTAACAGGAGGGGGAAGGGGAAGATGCCCTGTTCCCTGGATGTCATTAGTGAAAATTCACCTGGATTATCTGAGACCTCACTATGAAGTTTGCAACAGGAGTCCCTGAGGCCCACCTCAGCCTCTGGGCATAGCTACTAAAATGTCAGAGACAGCTACCTGCTGAGACTCAGCTGGCAGAAAGGAGGCTGCCCAGGTTGCCCTGGGAGTCTCTGTGCAAAGACAGGTGCAAGGGAGAAATGACAGATGTGGCACTGTCTGGGACCAGGACATTCACCTATGCCCTCGAAGATGACAGTAGAGAGGACAAAAGGTTTTCCACATATCGGATGAGATTCCTCAGGGTGAGACCCATGTTCTGGGTGGAGGAAAGGGCAGGGAACATTTACCTCTTCCCCAACTCCCACCCATTTTTTTGGTACTGGTAATTAAATCCAGAAGCTTTGCACTGAGCAACATCCCAAGTATTGGAAAAGGTACAAAGGAGTAAAATTGCCAGATCATATGGTAAAAGTATGCTCAGTTTGGTAAGAATCCACTGCACCGTCTTCCAAGGTGCACCACCGTGCACTTTCACCATTAATGATGAGTGTTCCTGTTGCCTTTGGGTAGTCTTTGCCCTTCTCAGTTTCACCTGTTCCTATGGCATCCTCCATCATCCACATCCTAATGAACGCCACAGCTGTCCTTCTACTTGGGTATCTTAATGTCTCCTTCCCTAGCAGGTTTGACTAACTTGACTGTGGCACTCAACATCTCTTCCCAATCATGGTTTTTTTTTCCCCCCTAGTACCGGGGATCAAATTCAGGCCCTCGCACTTGCCAGGCAGGCACTATGCTGCTGAGCTAAACCCCTGGCCCTAGTCATGTTCTCCTTTCACACCTTTGCTATAGGAGTGGGAAAAGTTAAATCTTAGCATTTCCTTTTGCCAATGACACATGCAGACATCTACACACCTACAGGGCAGGGCAAAGGGACCTCTGGGAAAGCTTGTTTTCCTAAGGCCAAGGGAAGCAAGCACCATTCTCCTTTCCATCTTACTACCTTGAACCCCTGCCTGATGTCTAGCACTATAGCCACTGCTCACAGTCATGAAGAAAAGCACCAGAGACGTGGTCTCACATCATTGAGTCCTTCAACCAAGGAGCTACCGAGAGAAGAGGAAGGACATATATCCTGGCTTCTTTTACTTGTGAAAATAATGCCCTATATTTGAAATAATTCTTAATAGTACCAGATTGATAAATGGCATCTATAAAATAACGGTAACACCACACTCCTAGACATATAGGCAAAAATAATTGACATAATTTTCCTATCTTTTCAAGTTATCATCCACCACAAAAGATTCTGATCCAGTCCTTTCCATTATGCATTGGTTCTTACCTGTTTTACTCTCATTTTTATTCTACCCTATGTCAAGGTCATAAACCTAAACAATAAAATTGTCTAATTTTCTGCCCCTTTTCTTATCCCTCTAATAAAGTGTCACCTGCCATCAGCTATTATTCTAAAACACAAGTGACACATTTATACTCAAGACAGTCAAGTCCTGCATTATTTTCTTATACTGATTTCACGAGTAACCTTCCAGATGAAAAAGAACCGCCAAATTTTAAAAAAAATTGTAAAGCATATTGAGATAAAATGAAATTAAGAAATCTAGAAAGATGACAAAAAGTGAAAATGGAATAAAAAATACAGCTATTAACAGTGATTATCTGAAGCTTTCTTTTACACTAAGAGTTTTGTCAGATCCCAGTAAATTTGAGCTTCCACTTAAATGGCTCCAAGGGCAATAAAGAGCCTGAATTGTCAAGGGGCATCACGTGGGATCCTCTCCTAAAGCTGGTATCCTAGATGGCCTCACCACTGCTACTCAGGTGAGCAAGAGACAAGCCCTTCATGTAAAGCAAGACAGGAAAGGAACGTGTATTCCCAGACTGTGAGAAGGCAGGTCTCTGAGAACATGCTGTCCACCCCCAGCTGCCAGGCAGGGTTAGCACCACACAGGGTCACCTTGCTACATGTGTGGTTCTAAAAGCTGAGGATTTGAGTGGTGTGCGCGGAGAGATCCACAGACAACAAAGCAAAACAAACCATCTCACAATTTGTCTCTAAAAATTCACATAAAGTTCCAAAGACCCTGAGCTCACAGAAAAAGAAGTTATAGAACATATGAGAAGGGCCGGAGATTTAGCTCAATAGTTCACAAGTGCAAGTTCAATCAAAAAAAAAAAACAAAAACAAAAACCATATGAGAGAAAACCACATTACTAATGAATGGCAGTGAAAGCATAGGGTAACAGGATCAGATAGTTCAACAAACAGTCCAAGTATTTAAATTATCAGTCATGGAATGGAATGGGTGTTCTGCATCTTACAGGAAATACCAGGCTTGAAAACAAGAGCAAAGAAACTGACTAAAAATGACTGACTAGACTTGGGGAAAACAGAATGAATTTATACAGATTAAAAATAAATAAAATTGAATACTTTGCAAATGACGTGAACAGTAGATTACTCACAGCTTAAGAAAGTACTAGTAAATTGTAACACAGGTTTGAGGCAAATATGGAAAACAAAGCCAAAGAGATAAAAGAAATGAAAATATAGCAGAGATGCTAAGAGACACATTTAAAAATCTAGAATAGCTCTACTCGGTGTTCCAGCAAAGAAAATACAGGGAAGGGGAAAATGCAAGATACACAGAAACCGAGACAAGGAACACCTTGCTGAGATGGTAGTGGGACAGAAAGCTGGTGACAAACCCTGGATGTAGTAAATTAGTACCCCTTGTAGCATGGATGTGTCACCAAGACACCCTAATAAAATCACAGAAGCAAAATGTTTGTATGAAATAAGAAGTTGTTACTAAGGAAAACTTAAGACCTCTAGCTGCATTTGGTCTTAGTAAATTTATTAATCACTAATATTAGAGTTCACATGGCTGCACTATAAATTATGAGTTTGCTACTAGGTTTGACATGAGTTAAGACATCAGTTGTCTGGTTACTTCTGAGGACTGGAAGGGCACTTTTGTTAAGAATACTGATCCTTTACTTAAACCTACAGAGACAGGTGACTAAACTAGGATAAAGGTTGACAATATTGTCTTCATATTATGTCCTTTGTTCTGTTAACCCCTTGGGTGAGATCCTACTTGGGTCTGCATGCAAACATGTTGACCATTTTTTTCCCACTTCTTTATTAGTAGATGTTTTTGATACATAATAAATACATTCATCATGGGGTACTGGCACATACACATTGCATCTTGATCCTTTTTACCTCCTTTGCCCTCCCACACAGCTCCCCCATCTTTAGATCCCCTTCCCATCTCCACAGTCTATTTTGATGTTGGTCATTTTAAAATGTTTGAATCAAGAGTATAACGTGGAGTTAAATTGACCTGTTGCCCACTGGAACTTGTGTTTTCTTTCTCTCTCTCCTTTCTGTCCCCATCCTTATGCTTTGTCAACAGCCACAGCAGATAATCACCTAAAGTCCTTGGGGCCCAGATCAAACTGCTAAGATTTTTTTTGCACTGGACAATAATGCCAATTACACAAAATTTCAACTGCCTCTAGGATGGCTTGACCACGACCACCCTGTGGACCAAATCTAACATAAGATGAAGTATTTTCGGGAACCGTGCTCCAGCCAGTGGAAATTACTAGACATTAGCCATCCCGTGAAAATCCACAAAAGCTCACCTCTTCTTTTGTTCTGCAAGCAGCCGGATCTTTCTTGTCTTGGTCAGCAGTATCTCCTTTTAGCCTGATAATGGCTTAACCTGTCAGCCATTAAAATCAAAGCAAATTAAAATCACAGTGAGATTCTACTTCACTCCTACAAGAGTACTCATAATCAAAATAACTTAACAAGTATTGGTAAGGATGAGAAGAAACCGGAATCCTTACACATGGTGCAGCCTGTATGCAAAACACCCACTATACTACCCAACCTTCCCTTCCTACGTAGACACCACCAAGAAGTGGAACCCTAGCTGTCCCTAACCTTAAACCCTAAGCCCTAACCCCAACCGTGAACCTTAACTCTAAATCTTTAACCCTATCCCCAATTCTAACCCTGCTGTAAGCTGCAAGCAAGTTGGAAAACAAAATTTACGCCAAGGAACAGAAGATACTCGGAAAATCATGTATCTGATAAGGACTGCTAGCCTAATTTATACTAAGAACATCTACAAAATCTATTAGAAGTACACAAACAGCCAGGGATTTAGCTCAGTGGCACCTCGCCTGCCTTGCAAGTGCAAGGTCCTGAGTTTAAAAAAAAAAAAAAAAAAAGAAGAACAAAAATAAACATGCCTTCTTTCCAAAATGGTATTTTCCTACTTAAACTAAGAGAAAAATTATATTTGTAGCCATGTAAAGTACAATTTTAATTCACCCAGGCCAGACAATCTTTTCCTCACAAGAGCTCATTCTCTAATCCCTCTGTAACAACGGGGTAATACTGCAGATAATAATTTAGATAGATAATAATTTATCTATTACCTCCATTCAACTTATTCTGTTTTGCAAGGTAAATGGACATTGTAAAAAAACAACAACAACAAAAAAAACCAGATCTCCAAATCACCAGTGGACATATGAAACTGCATTAACCATTGAGGAGACCACCTTGAAACCACAGTTCACTAAAGTAAATCAAATGAGAAGGCCAAGTCCAGGAGGACAAGAAGCACTGAACTCTCTCTCATGCACAGCTGGAAGGAATAGGAAGGGACAGGACTGCTGACTCTGAAAGCTGATGGTGTCTGATACAGGGAACACAGCAGAAATGCATTACATGTGCACTGAAAATGTGGAGAAATGTTCATGCACACATTACTCTTAAGAACTAAGCACTGGGAACAACTCAGATGTCTGCTGTCAGTACACTACAATATACAAACTGTGCCACATAGAGTAGAATATACAATGAGGAAGAACCCACTCTGCCGCAACTCAAGATAACCCTCACAGACCAAAGCTGACCTGAGGAAGGCGGAGGAGCAAGGTGCGCTGTTTCTTTCACATACTGTTCAGTACAGGGAAGAGCAATCTGCAGGCCATGAGTCAGCACACTACCACTGAGGGGCCCCACCCGGAGCACGTGAGGAACAGTGTGTGGCCACGTTCGGCCTGAGTGTTGGGTGTGTGGATATGCACTTTCTGAGAATTCATCTCTCTATAGAGACTTGCTGAGCTTTCAGTATACACTGTATATTTCAATAAAATTTTGCAAAACATCAAAACAATACAAAGGCAAGTTGCAGACATGGAACTACTGACACAAGTTTCTTTGTAATACTGAGAAAAGGTTACAAAGGAAAATTTTTAATTCCATGTCTGAAAAATAATGCACATGGACAGAAATAGGATATATAACATTCATTAAAAAATATTTATTGAGCATGTACTATGTCCAACACATAATTTACCTGGAAGACACCTACACACACACACAACCATCCCATGCAGAGACCCTCACGTGCATGCCACCACCAGCTCTCACGCTGAGCCACGGCACTGCTGCAGCCCCCACACCCCATCACCCAGCTCCACAGCCCTACATCCTACACATGGAACAGCTGAGTCAAGGGCAGCAGGGATACCACTGACACACAATACGTGTACGTCACGGCCACAGGGTACACAGGCTGCATGCGCGTGTCTGAGGAGTCTAGAACTACACCTAGCTAGGACACTGAGCCATAACCACCGACAGGCAGCAGTGTGGGCAGCACAGAGCAGACACCTGGGGACAGCCTACTCTAGAGGGACAACACTGGGTAACGGCAATGGCAGCTCCTGCCTGTGGAGGGTCTTGGTGTCACCTGCCAGGCTGGGAAGGGGTCACAGTGGCACGAGTGGGCATGGACTTCACAGTGGGCGTGCTGGCAGCCAGATGCGTTCTCCTCCCTCAGGACGCACCGTGCTTCCTCAGCAGCTCATCGACTGTTATCTCCAGATTGGGAAGACTTTCTCTCCAACCTAAAAGAGACAAGAGAGAACAAACCCACCCAACAGTACTTCTCCAGTTTCCAAGAGAATGGCATTCAGGTACAGGTGTTTTTTAAAATGACACAACACTTACACTTTGAGTATAAAATTATCACAAATCAGTTATTAAAAGGCAAAGGGAAGCCATATGATTTTTTTCTTTTCTCTACTTTCTAGTAGTCCCTGAACCAAGACTTGACACCCCATCCTAGGCAGAATCACCCCCATCACCACCTCACATGTGAGACAGAGGCTGCTCAGCCTCCACCACATGTCCAGACCAACTGCACCTCTGAGTTGTGAAAGATGCCTGCCAGTCTGTGTGGGTCTTGCCTCTGTCACCTAAAGAAATGACACCGTCCTGAACCTTCCACTTCCTATTTTGCAAAAGGAGAAATGAAGCTAATAAGAGCATCCATTTCCTGTGTGAGGATTAAATAAAATGATGCAAAATGATGAGGCATCCCACCAGGTGTGAATAAAACATTTGCCATAGTTATCGCACCCAGAGCTGTTTTTGTGAGAACAGCAACCTTAAGACATAATTTTACAACTATATATCTTACTTTTTGAGATGTGGGGTCTTGTCTGGAAGTCACAGCCCAGCTCAGAGTGACCGACATGTGCCTTCTCCATACCGGGTTTCTTTGCAACACAACGGAACCTGTGACCACGTCTCCCCGGTGGACTGGGACTGGGTCATCCATCATAAACAAGGTCTGTTTCCAGTGTGTGGTGCTGCAAGACAGGATGTGGGTCACCTGCAAGCCTGACCTGGCAGTCATGGTGTGGCCCTCAGATGCCCCAGCCTGATGCCTTGCACTCTCCTCAGGGGCTGGGGACACAGAGCTTGACTTCCCAGTGTAATGAGGGGTACACATCTCTAACCCTGCGAACTAAATGGTCTTTATGGACCATACAAGGCTCAAAGCCACAACAGAGGCAAAAACCCAGCATGGACACAGTGGTGAGGACGTTCTTCCAGAGACCTCTGAGGTTCTCAGAGGTAAGGATGTGCACCGGGCCACCCACTGGATGGCTGCTGATGCCAGGGTTACTCACAGCCATAAAAGAGTGGCATACACTGTCCACACCAGGTCCCAAACTGTCACTTCCATGAGGTAAATTTAATGTGAACAAGAGAGCTATAACCTTGAGAGAATTACAGACCAAAATATTTTCTCTCAGAGAGGTGGGAAATATTCTAGCTCTTTGGGCCTGAGGCCCACGTGCCCAGCACTATCCACAGGCTGGCCTGAGACTCCCTCTGTTCTCTCCCCAAACCTCCTTTGCTCTTCCTCTTCTCCCTGAACTCATCACCAGGGTCAGCTGCCCAGGCACCCACCATCCACCTGATTTCCCATCTGCTGCCTATGCCAGGTAAGAAGGAAGCTGGAAGGCAGCAAGACCTGTGCTACCACCCCCAGAGCACCTGGGGGCAGTCTACATTGCCATGCATAGGTAAAGAACTGCGGAACTCTGGGCAGCCCCTTAATTCCTCCCCATGTGGAGGCCATAGGGTCCACTTCTAGGGCAAAGATGATACTCCAGGCAGTGGCAAGAGGGGACCAGGTTGGTCCATGCTCTATGCACCCTTCCTGTGCACACAGCCCCAAATACCCCACAGGTACTCACGGGTGCAGCGGGCCAGTGCTCAGCACCTGCTGTGGCTGGCCCTCCTCCAAGCTCTGGAAGTGCACACTGAACCAAGCTGTGAAGCCATGCAGGGTTCCAGACTTCTGGATGTCAAAGTGCAGCTCCCCACGCATGGTCTGCACCAAGCACAGGATGATGTTCGGGCCATGCAGCTTGACCCAACCAGAACCCCTACCCTAGACCCCGACCCACAGGGTTCATAGCCCAACCCCAAACACAACCTCAACCATAATCCAAACCCATCTCTAAACCTGACCCTAAGCCAACCACAACCCTAACCCAAACTACATGGTTTGCAGATCAGGCCCAAACACAACCCCAACTCCGACACTAACCACAACCCAACCCCACCCAAACCCAAATCCAAACACAATCACAACCTAACCCCAACCCAAACTAACGGCAACCACAAGCACAACCAAACACAACACAACCCCAATCACAATTCAACCCCAGCCCAACTTCATCCTCAATCCTAACCACAACTCAACCCAGAGGGTTCACAGTCCACACCCAGACAGAACCCCAACAGTCCCTGCAGACAGTTCAGGTTCTACTGCATAAGCGTGGTTCAGCTTGTACTGCCCATTCTCCTGCCAGTACTGTGGAGGCTGCCTCCTGGGACCCTGGAGACCCGTCAGATCAGCAAATCCAATGCAGGAGTCATACAGGAAATACACTTGAGAATTTTATCAATGGTAACTAAAAACCCTTGAAAGAATTTTAATTGAAATACTGTACCACAATACACAGAATATAACTTATGGGATTTTGAAGATGCCAAGAATATTAAACACCTAAAAATAACTGTAGATGCTAAAGAGATTAACTCTAAAGAAAATGATGTGAAAACTTGAAAATCAAAAGGAAAAATAAAAAAGGAAAAACTGGAAAATTCAATAGCAAATAGTATATAAATTCACTCATTTGTTTAGTGAAACAGTCATGAATACCCCACACTAGTTGAAGGACTATGACAGGGTAGGCACAGGCAGCAAGGGAGCAGTCACCTCTCCTCACCTCTACATCAGAGATCTGCACGGTTCTCATGTCCAATTGCAGTATGGTGCAGGGCTCAGAGAGACAGTCTTCTGGCTTCAGAATGTGATTATACTTGGGCTTTGAAAAAAATTCCTTGATTGCTAAAGATCTGAGGGAAAAGGGCAAAGGAAGGGCTCAAGGTCATCACAGAGATCTTGCTTTGAAACACATTTGACTGAAGAGATCATAAGCCAGCAGCAGCAGGAAACTCACCAAGTCTGGTATCTGGACTCAGGGCAGCACTAGGGACCTATCCTGTGGGACTTGCCTGGAGGAACAGCTGCAGCCCCAGGGCCCATCTGAGCCTCATCTGTCAACCAAGGACTTCCCTTTTACATCCTATCCAGTGATCTGAGCACAAGGATGTCAGCCTTCACCATATAACCCACAGAGTTAGTATGCAGTATGCTTTCTTTAGTTTTTGAATCTATTTTCTCTCAAATACCTTCTGTGGATCTATGACACACCATATACAGAAGCAACTCCGACTGTCAGCTACCCTTAATGGATACATGGTAGGGCTGACGCGGCCCACCCAAGCCTGCATCTTGGAGAGATGCTTGTGCTGAGATGTGAGAGACTGCTTGGGCCTGCATAAGATGGCTGCCCTCAACCTTAGCCTTTGCCTCGGTGGAAAAATCCCACTAGACTACATATGTGACTTTTGGCAGGTCTAGCCCCTGGGCAAACAGGAAATCTTACAGAAAAAATAGCCCTTTGTGCTAACCACAGGGTCACGGGATCTGGAGCAGGAAGCAGGTGGTATTCCTTGTCCTACTTGCCCCTAGGGATTGTGAAGTTAAAGATTGCATAGGGTTAATTGTTGATGTACGCCTTCCCACTTACCCCTCCCCACATTTGGTAAAATACTGATTGCTGTATGCTGCTAAGTGCTTTGTCCCTTTATGGTTAAATGCTTGAATGACTCATGTGATTGGTAGAGGATTTGTTTGAACTGTCCAGTAAGCTTGCTGAACCTTCCCCCTGGGATAACAGTATATAATCGTTTTGCTGAGCCAATAAAGAGCCTGTGATCAGAAACCAGACTTGGGCCGTGTACTCTAACTTCTTAAAGATTTCCTCCACAGACATTCAAGATCGGATCGGCCTCTGATGACCCACGAATAAGAGGCGGCTCTCACCTCCTATTCCCCGCGGGACGGGGTCCCCCCAGAGAGCCGCACTGAGATGGACAGTGAGTCTACTACACAGATGTGATGCTCCTTGCTGCCTCCCATGCATTCCTACTTGTGCTAGCCACAAAGCCATCTGTTACCACAGAAATGCTTTAAAATATAGCACTAAAATACAGTCTTGTTTTCATAAAGATTATATTATTTCTGGTAATACTTCTAATAATAAAAATAATTATGAATTTTTAGAAAACTGGAAAATATAGACAAATATAAAGAAAAATCTTCAATTACTCATACTTCTACTTAGTTTGGATGTTCTATATTTAACAGTTTTTCTCCCCATACCTATCAACATATATTTATTAATGCAAAAGAGAAGTCATTTTATACAAATGGTTTGTCCTGCCAATTTTACTACCTCTTAAACAATTTTTGATAGCATCACATAAAGTCACACCTTGGTACTCAACTGCTTTGAAACTGATCAAATTTGGTTCTCGGCACATTTTGATGCTCTATTTTGTGCCAATACTTACCATTTATTTGGCGATTGATGCACAAGCTAGAACTTGGTGTTTACTCCTTCATGACTTGTTACCCTTTCCAGCTAAAACAAGTCATTTTTTGGTACTTGTCACACCTCCCAGACCAATTAACAAAGATTACAAAGGTACTATTTACACTAATAAACATCCATTATTTACACATCTTTAGGACAGCTGCTTGCACTGATGTTTTCCACACACCCATGACATGGTGACCAACCCAAGAAGGCAGCCCTGGGAGTGGTGTGGGTCTAAGGCCCTAGGCCCTCACTCTGTAGCTCTGGGGATACAATGTCCATCTCTCCCACAAGCACTGGGCATAAAGGCAGCAGCTGCTAGGCAAACACACTGTATTTTAATTTATTCTTTGGTCATCTGGTAGGCAAAAATAGCATTTATTTTAATTATTAAAAATATTCTAGTTTTTCAAATACTTATCAGTAGTTTTATTCATTTTTATGACTTGCCTATTTGAGTGATTTGATGATATTGATCTTTTCCTAACAGAGTCTAAGATCTGTCTGCAAGTGTTGCTCCTACTTACTGTCTTATAACTGTGATTGTTTGCTAATTTCTGGCAAATTTTATAAACTCTAGTGCAGTATGTACGTCATTCTTTTCTGATGATTTCCTCTGTAGCTAAGATCTGACACAGGATCCCCTCGATTCCTCATCTGGATGTTGATGTTTTAGCACAAAACTCTTAAATCCATGCAGAATTAAGTCTTACAGCCTGGTGTGAAAGAAGAAAAGAACCACGCTGGCTCTGCCCTCGCCCTCTTGATTTGTAAGCCACTCCTCATGCCCTAAAATACTCTGCTCCATGCTTTCCACCCTGTCCCGTTGGTCTGTTTCTGATTCTGACACAGCAGTGCATAAATCACTCCAGCTCCCTCAAAGATTTAATACCTGGAAGCCCAAGATCCCACCATGTCTTCCCAAATGAACCTGTCCAACTATCTTCCCTCTACTCCCTCTGGGACTCTGATTGAGGGAACAATGATTCTATACATTAACTGGAGAAGATTTCATACCTTTATATTGCCATTTTTCAATTTTAAAAAAGTAGCCCAGAAGCCCCATGCTCTGCCCCAACACCCTGCCTGTAAATATCAGCAGAAGCCAAGCTGATCTGGTCCTCACTTATGGATCCAGAAGTTTCTCATACTGTCATACCTAAGCACTCTAGTATTCATCAAATCTAGTATGTGAAACATTTTGACACACAAATTTTGTCCTGGTATAACTTTGTTGGTTTGGTATGCAACACGCCTCTCAAAACCAATTGATAAATACCAAAGTACCTCTGCATACTGACTTAGCAGGCTGGAGCTACTTAAAAAGTAGAGATTTTTTTAAATTGTTAACTACAGAGAGATCCCCCCAAGCTTATGGTTTCAAACTTCAGCTCAAGAGCACTTTAACATCTATGCCCAGAAGTCTCCAGCCCTGTCCAGTATCCAATACTTGGCCATAAGAGAACAAAATCATCCCCCACCCATAGATTCCAGCACTATGACACAAGGCCTGAGAAACTAGGACATGAGGACTGAGGTAATGATCAACCGGACCCTAGCCCTCCAGCCAATCCTTGAAAGCTGGCCTCCTGACTTTCTGAGCGGGTGAGCCTGAACCTGTAGCAGCAATAGTACTTCTTGGTGAATGAGGCCATTCCCTAATTTCCACATCACTCTCACACCACACCCTTCCCAGCAGAGACTACACTCATGGCTCAGCAGCCTTGCTGGAAGCTAGGCTCAACTCTACCAGTGTGTCCGTATGTTAAAAAACAGAAAGGCAATTACTTCAGAGTACTGCTTTCTTTGCAAATCACTAGGAACCACCAACATATTTTCTTACACTCATTAAAGATTTATAGCTTTCAACCAAGTGTGGTGGCATAAGCCTATATTCTCAGCACTTTGGTATTCGAAGCCTGAATCAGGAAGATCACAAGTTCAAAACCAGCATGGGCAGCTTAGTGAGAACCTGCCTCAAAATAAAAAATTGAAAAGGCTCGTTATATGGCTCAGTATGAAGACCCTAGGCTCAAACCCCAGAACCAGTGTTTGTATGTTAGGGGGTGTGTACAGTTCTCAGTGGGAACAACACGTTTTAAAAACACATTTTTTAAAACCTAATTTTTAAACGCGACTTTTTTTCCCATTATATTTGGGAACTTAATTTAAAGACATCTCAATTCCTACCTCTAAGCGCAATGTACAAAGTTGTCAGGTGCACAACTTTAGGATAGCTGAGGGGAGCCCGATTCTCAGAGTGGGGTTTCCTCCTCAAGCTCTCACCACCACCACCACCTGTATCTCCCTCAGTAGAAGGGACCTGCTCCCCTCAGGAACAGGAGCTGCATGACCTCCCCTCCTACAGCCATCTCACAGATCCAGAATGGTATGGGCACAGCCCAAGGCAGAAAAGGAAATACCACAAATTCCCAGCAAGGTTCCCACAGTCACCTAGGGGCACTGAGTGAATAAAGGACAGTTTTTGTACAACTACTATGTTTCCCAGGGAAATACCAGGATGACCTCTGAGAAGGCACAGGTACTTGCTGAAGCACAGAGGCAGCATTTAGGAAGGCTCTAGGTGTAACCTAGGCCCATGGTGTAACCATCTCAGCACCTCCCTCACTGCCAGCAGCCCATGGTGGCAGCTTACTCCCCGCAGGACTGGCCACGCAATGCACACCTACTTGAGCGCACTGAGATTGAACTCATAGGCGTTGTCCCAGAAGAGCACCTTGCTGTGGTAATCCTTGTCAGCGCTGCAGGGCACCAGATGCAGGGCAGCCGTGGTCGGCCAGATGACCCCATCCTCCTTCAGCCACGCATCCCGGGCATATAAGATGGACTCAATCATGAACTCAAACTGCAGAGGAGGTGAAACACATGGGGGGACATGTCACCAGGATTCACCAGCCAGGGTCACACAGTGACAGTCCACCTGAGAGTTCCTGAGCCTCACACTTAACATGAAGCCCTCCTGGCTACAACAAAAGGATCTGTTCTACATCCACAACTAGGGTTACAGGTGTGTATCAAGGCATCCGCTCCTGCTGGACAGGGAACTAGAGGGTGACTAATGGCCAGCACCCTCAGGGCTGAATGGGATCAGTTTGGTCTGAGGCATTCTCAGAATTTTCACAACCCTGAGACTGAAACCTTTCCCACAGCCCCAGAAAGTCAGGCAAGGGAGCACAGGCCTTTCCCAGACACTAGAATCAAGGGCACAGGTGCACCCTCTCACCCTCGGGAGAGTGGGTCACCTCTCTGACAGAGGACCCAGAGCCCCGAAGCTAAGCTTCCAGTCTGACCAGAATTCATTTCAAAATGGAAAAGAAAGAGCACCAAGGTGGGACTGTAGCTAGACCCAAGAAACAACAGGAGGATTCTGTTTTTCACAATTAATCTAAACAGATTTTAGCAGGGTGTGGTGGCACACGCCCATTAATCCCACCACTTGAGAGTTTGAGGCCAGCCTGGGCTACATGGTGAGTTCAAACTCAGCCTGTATTACAAAGTGAGATCCTGCCTCAAAAAAAAGTAGATTTTTATTATAGAATAAAATGTTCACTATGGAAAATTTAGAATACTCAAAACTGAACAAACAGAAGTAAAAACACAAGTAAACTCAGCACTCAGAAGAAATCACTGTTGTCACCCTGCAATTTATCTCCAAGTATTTTTCAGAGTTATAAATATGCACACAATATATCCATATATGTAAGTTAAAAATTTTAGCTTTTGTACCATACAGCAAAGCTGACCTTTCTTGTTATATAGCCAGTATCAAGTCTGCCACTTGTGCACATCTATGTACCCACAGCCACAATCAGTTTACACAGCCCACGAACCAGAACCTTCTCCTGATGGCCAGTCCCTCCCCAGTCCAGGCTCTGGAAACCTCTGATCAGGTCTCTACCCTATGGTACTGTCCTTTGGAGAATATCATGTAAAGGGAGTCATATGGTAAGGAGCCTCTGAGACAGGCTTCTTTCACTCAGTGGAAGGTCCCTGGGTTTTTCCACAGGACTGAATGCTTTGAGTATTCTCTCCATAGTGTGGATTTGTCAGTTTATCCACTGATCTGTTGAAGGATCCCTGGGCTGTTTCCAGCTTTTTAGCAATTACAGAGTCATTCCATACTTGTTTCCATGACAGCTTGCATTTTTCCAGGATAAATACCCAGGAAGGGACTTTCTGGGTCACAAGGCGAGTGCCACACAAAACTGGAGGAGCCCAAACCTCCCTAGAGTGGTAATTTCCAAAGCCATCCACATGGGTTAGCTGCTCCAAATCCTCACCAGCACTTGGATACAACTGTTATTCACAAGGTGCACTTCCCTTAAAACTCTCTTCATGCTTGTCTACCACCATGTGTCCACTCTGGTGAGGCTGTTCAAGTCTTCTACCCATTGTTCCCTTGGGTTGATTTCTGGTTTTTTGTTTTGTTTTGTTTTTGTTTTTTTGAGACAGGGTCTCACTGTGTAGTTGAGACTGACCTGGAACTCAGTATGCAGCACCCAGGGTGGTCTTGAACTCACAGTGATCCTCCTGCCTCAGCCTCCCAAATGCTGGGATTACAGGTGTGCGCCACCACACCCAGCTTCCCTTGGGTTGATTTCTTCCTGTTGAGTTTTGAGAGTTCTCTGTATATTCAGGGTACACATTCAATGTGTGATTTGCAATAACTTCCTCTTAGCCTGCCTTTTCATTCTCTTAACATGGTCTTCTGTAGAGTAAATATCTTACTTTTGATGATATCCAATTTATTATCTAAAACATATGGATCATGCTTCAGAGCCTGTCTTAATTACTTTTCTCCTAGCTGAGACAAAATACCTGACACCCAAAGTTAAAGAAGGAAAGGTTTATTTTAGCTTACAATTTGTAGAGGTCTCAGTCCATAAATGGCTAGCTCCAAGACAGGATGGCATGGGAGGGCGGCATAGCAGGGCAGCAGGGCAGAGAAGAAGCAGTCCATGGCCAGGCAGGCAGGAAGCAGGAAGCAACAAAGCAGCAGCAGTGAGGCTCTCTTTCCCTTTTATTCCATTCAGGCTACAAACCTATAGGTTGGTACCACCCATACCCAGAGTAGGCGTTCCCACTAGCCCCACCCAGAACTATTTATTCTAAACCAGTCAGCGGACTAATTTAGTTACCAAACACGCTTTTATTTATTTTATTTTTGTACCAAGGATCGAACTCAGGACTTTGTGTTTGTGAGGCAGGCAGCAGCACCACTGAGCTAAATCCCCAGCATTACACACTCTTAATTCATATTTACACACCCTAGATCTAGCCACTGCAAAAAGTCCTACCCTGAGCACATGAGGCTCTGGGGGGACATCTAGATAAAGCCATAACAGAGCCATACCTAAAACTCTGCCTAGCTCCCAGTCATAAGGATTTCTTCTAATTTCTTTTGAAAGTTTGTTTTACATTTTACACTACGTCTACAATCAATTTTAAGTTTAGTATGATATGTAAGGTTTAGGTTCCTTTTGGTTCTGGATATGGTGGCCAACAATTCAATATCCTTTGTTGAAAACACTTTCTCCACTAAATTGATTTTGTACCTTTGTTAAAAAGCAACTGACCACATTTGTAGAAATCTATTTCCCCTGTTCTGTTCCACTGACTTGTGTCCAGGCCTTCATCAATCAAGCCACACTGTCCTTAGTAGCTTTAAAAACAAGTAGCATAATTCTTCCAACTTTATCATCTCTTTAATTATATTGCTGTTCTAGTTCCTTTACATCCCATACAAAGGTCAGAATGAGGGCCAAAGATTTAGGTCAGTGTCTCCGCACTTACCTTGCAAGCAGCAAGGTCCCAAATTCAATCCACAGTATCAGAAAAAATTTAAAAACCAAGTTCAGAATAAGTTTGCTTCTATCTACCCAAAAACTCCTGCTTGAATTTTGACTAGAAGGGAACTAAGTCCATCACCCTGAAAATGGATGCCTGCCAAGGTCAGCCTTTCCAGCCCAGCATACTGTCTCTCCACTCCCGAGGTCTCTCGACTTCCTGAATTGATACCTTGTGATTCCCACATACAGTTCTTGCATATATTTTGTCTAATTCTCAGTATTGTGTTTCACATTTGTTGAGCCACTGTAAACAGTACTGCTTGTTTCCAATTGTCAATTTTTAGGATATGAAGACAATGTTGTATGATTACCTTTCACTCTGTAATATTGCTAATCTTATTAGTTGTAGGAAATATTTTTGTAGATTTTTGAGGACTTTATAAAGATAATATTATCTGAGAATAACAATGGTGCTGTTTACAATCTGTTTTTCTTTTTTGCATAAGTTAGGAGTTCACGTACTATGTTGAATAGGGATGGTCCAAGTGGTCACAGGTGTCTTGTCACTACTCTTAGGAAGAAGTACAGACTGCTTCCCCACCATGTATGAAGTCAGTTGTAGGGTTTCGTACATGCCCTTTATGATGCTGAGACAGTTCCCTTCCACTCCTAGTTTGCTGGATTGAACTGATGTTGAATTGTCAATTTTTTTCTGTATTAATTGATGTAACTGTATGATTTGTCTTCTATGGTCCATTATTAATATGGTAGTTTATATTGATTGGTTTTCAAATACTGAACCAGCTATTCATTCCAAGGAAAATCTCTTGTTGTAGTCTATTATTATTCCTTTTACATAGTTATGTTACATTTGCTAATATTTTTTTGAGCATTTTTACATTTACATTCACGAGTTAATGGTCTGTAGTTTCCATATTTTTGTAATAACTGGTTCTGGTATTAGGGCAATGCTGAACTCATAAAACAAGCTTAGACATATATCCTCCTCCAGTACCTCAAATATTTCAGAATTGGTGTTATTTTTTTCTTTAAATGTATTGGTAAAATTCACCAGTAATATCAGCCTAGAGTAGTGATGGCAAACATCCTAGAGCTTTCAATGATACACACAGCTCACTACAGCACACGTGCCACAGGCTCATACTAGACAAGCTCCTCTTTTAGGTTTTGAACTATAAGTCCAATACCCTCATTAGTTACTGGACCATCCAGGTTACCTATTTCATCTGAGTCGAGTGGTAGTTTGCAGGCTTCAAAGAAATTTGTATATTTCATGCACACTGTTTAATTCATGTATACAGAGGCCAAAGGGAGGGGAGTGACCAACTCAAGACCAGCTCAGCAGTGCTTAATTCTTGCCTTTCCCCTAGCCTGCTGCTACTACAAAGCCCTTCTCCCTGTGCCTGGCCAGGACTCACAGGTGAATCAGGGAAAGACACTGGGAGTGAGCCCTCTCCATCCTACCTGGAAGTGAATCCAGGTCATTGCTACATATAATTTAGTGAAATAAAATTGGAATCATGATGCACATACTCTGTACTTTAAAACCACTAATATATCTTCAAATAGCTCAGATTAAAAATCTTTCTAAAACATAATTTTAATGAACATATGGATTGTCACAACTGTTTCTACTATTTCCAATTTTCTTCTATTTGAATAAAATGGTGTTGTCATGATCTTTTTTTAATATAAAGCTCTATACTTATCAGTTTATTTAGGACAAATCCATTTAAAAAATTTTAATGCTTTTTTGTGCTCCCTTTGGCAGCACATATACTAAAAATTTTTAACACTTTTTGACACATTTTGCCCTACTGTACCTCAAAAAGCTGTATCAATCTACACTTCTAAAAATCATACACCACCAGAGAAACTATTCAGTATTTATACATAGTGTGACTTGTTTCACTTAGGAGTATATCCTCAATATGTATCCATTTTTCTATGAATGTGGGTAAGAAACTAAAATGCTACATAAGATCCTAATGATATAATTGACAATGTGAAATAGGAAGAAAAGGAATAAAGGTATAGGGGAAATGGGAAAGGTAATAAGGGAAAAGGAAAAAAAAATGAGATAATGAAAAAAGGAAATAAAGTATTTGTAAATAGGGAAGGGAGGAGGGGGTGAAGGGAGGGCAGGGATAAGGGGAAAAAATGAGAATGAAGACCTGTCAAGTAAAGGTACAAGATCCCAATGATGAATGTAATTGTAACTGTATACCTGAAATGTACCAATAAACTCAATGAGAGAAAAAAATAAAAATAAAAATCATACACCATGGTGCAATCTCACCAAAGGGGGTGAAGAGGGCAGGGATAAGGGGAAAAAATGAGAATGAAGACCTGTCAAGTAAAGGTACAAGATCCCAATGATGAATGTAATTGTAACTGTATACCTGAAATGTACCAATAAACTCAATGAGAGAAAAAAATAAAAATAAAAATCATACACCATGGTGCAATCTCACCATAGTCTCCACAGTACTGGGAATTGTCAAATGTTAGATGACTGCCCAGACAACTTCCCAGGACAGAAATATTTAAGTTATTCTCTCAGGACATTCACTGCACAATGCTCACACTGCCTTCTGCACTTTTCTGGGGTTGCCCATCCCTCTCCCACGGGGCACTCACCTCCTGCTTTTCTTCAAACCTTCTTGGAGCTCCTTGTGTCATATAAGCTGCAATTCTTATATGACAGAATTGTTTCATTCACCTTACGATAGTTTATTAATGTATAAATGGTAATTTTTCATCAAATATTTTGTTTAGTACTTTGTTCTTTAAACAACCTTTCTCATTCTAACATCCAAAAAAAAATTCAGTAGTTTTATATTTCCTCCCTCTTAAACTCTTCACCTGTCTAAAGTTTAATTAGTATGTGGCGTGAGGAAGAATCTGTTTCAGCTCCATCTCTGGCTGACTGCATCCTTGACTCCCCAAATAGAAGTGTGAATGACAAGGGAACATGTGTGATGTGTCAGAAAACAAAGTGACATTAACATCAACTTAAGTTGCTTATACAGGTATTTTTTTTTAATTAGTTAAAAATCCAAAACACTGACCTAGTGTTCATACAAGACATTAATTGTGCCTCACCTTAGAAGAAAAATAAAAGCTAATCATGATTTCTGAAAATCCCTGAGACAGGCCAGGGTACGTAAGTCCAGAAGCTCCAAAATCCCACTGTTCCTAGCCAGTGCAGGCCAGCCCTTACCAGTAGGCAGGTCCCCATCCACTCGGACACCAGCACGTCTACTTTCTCAGGCAGCACAACATCCTCCACCTTCTGCTGGAACACAGTGATGGTGTCAGCAAAGCCATTCTGCAGGACCAGCTGGCCCGTGTGCTGTGCCATTTCACTTGCCTCCACAGCATATACCTGCAGCAGCAATGTGTTCATCAGTGCACATCCGGACCCTGTGCAGGGTCATCCTGTGTCCTCTACTCTCCTCTTGGATCATAGTCAGCACAGAAAGAGGCATGGTATTGGACAGCAGTGGATGGTGCAGACCAATGCCCACAGCTCACCCCCTCAGTTGGCACCCATGTATCCACCCATGCTGCATGCGAACAAAATTACTACACGCCCAGCTGCTCCTGCACGCAGCAAATCTGACCACTATCCAGAGAGCAGCCAACAGTCTGAGAGCATGGCAGCCTGAGGGGCAATCAGACCCAGGCTTTTACAAGGGGAATCTGGGAGGGCTCTGGGGTTGGTCCTGCTGGCAAAGTCTGGGCAGTTTCCACCCCTAAGCCAGCATCTCATCCCGTGTCAGGCTCTGTGGAGCGGTGACATGGAGGGCAAGAAGGCACAACACTGACTCAATGAGTTAGCTTACTATATTTAACTTCAGTGAAAGCTCACAAAACAGTCCCACACCACCACTTACTCAGTCACTTCCATCCCACCCTATGCCACTCCTAGCTGCTGTGAGCTGCACATCCCTCACAGCTCCCCATCTGCCTGACATGAGCCTCACTCATACAACAGTACCACTGAGTCAACCTAGAGCTAACCTGTCAACCTATCAGACCCAAATACCACTTGTGGCGCCACCTTGTACCCAACTCACCGCCTTGGGCCGTGCATGGTGTGCACAAAATAGGCTGATGATGCCAGTGCCACAGCCAACATCCAGGATAACCTTGCCCTTCAGGGATTCCTTGTTCTGCAGGATGACACTGTGGTACTTTGTTGTCCGTGGTTGGTCTGCCAACATTTCCAAATGAAGTTTCTAGAGAAAACACACTGAGCATCACTGTGAGGCCACAGTGGGCAGTGAAGGGATGAAACAAAGTTCTGGAACCCTCGCAGTGCAGTCCAGTGCCACCTACAGCTTCTTCCTGCCTCTACCCAAGAGCCAAGTGAGCAGGGAACAGTGGGGACCACTCCAGATGGAACAGAAATCCTCCCCATAGTCAGTGGGATACTGCACCTTCAACAAGTTATCTATCAAAAGAGAATACTGAACATGTCACAGGAGACCTGCCAGAGAGGCCCAATGAGCTCTCCATACGTGTTTACCCCTTGATTGTCTGAGGAGGGTGGAAATTACAGCTTGGATAGAGATAACACCCCTGGCTGGCCTACACTGCATGTTAAGAGAGGAAGGCATCTGAGCCCTGGGGAGGCAGAGAAAGGCCCCCTCAAGGTACTGGCAAAGCCCAGAGCTGCTGCAAGGATATATGACACCCCAGAACCCTTGGGGGCAAGACCCAGCTACAGAAGAAGCACCACTAGAAAGACAAGTAGACAGGCAGGAAGACAGCACAGAAGGGCTGCCCAGATCTCACCAGCACAAACAGGAGTCTGGATGAGGACTCCTGCAGCTCCTTACAAAGACACCACTGCAGAATAAAAACAAAGGGGCAGGAGGCTGATGGAAAGGAATGTCAAGCCCACTCATCTGCCTACAAGCATTCACTTTAAACGTAAACACAGGCTGGGTAAAACAAAGGACAGGAAGGCATACCACATTCACACAATGGGAGAACTGGAACAGCGGCACTGACTTCAAGCAAAGGATATTTCAGGGCAGAGAATGTCCCCAGGTCACAACAACACAGGAATTGATTCATCAAAAGGACATCATAACTCTAAATATTTCTGTATCTAATAACAGCCATGAAAATATAAGCAGCAAAAACTAATAGAAATGCAAGAAACAAAATTACGGTTATAAGTAGTGTCTGATACCATCCTCAGTAACTGACTGAAGTAGACAGGGCATGTCAACAAATGCTTACAACAGTAGTTACTAGCACAAAATGTCTAGGGATATGTTTAACAGAAAAGGTAGACCACTGTATACAATAAAAACCTTCAAACTCTGAGACATGAAACAAGGCCTGGGGAGTGGACACCACAGAGAATCACACCTCTTAAAACTACTTACAATCTATGCAGCACCAACTGAATCTCCAACCAACCTGTCATAGGGGGGCACAAAACAATAAATGCTGAGGCAACCAGGAATATGCTGAAAACAGAATGGCTGTCCAGCTAGCTCTCAGACTTACAAACTACAGAGATACAGAACAACAGCAGAAAAATAAATGAATCACCACAATAGGTCAGAAATGCCAGAGGAGATGCTGGAAATGTATGATAAATGTGACACCTGCCCAATTACCGGGAGAGGATTAGCAGGTATCTGTGGGAAGAATCTAATGCAGAATATCATCTCTTCTTTATCACAAATAAATCCCAGAATGCTTTAAGTATCTCATTGTGTAGAATTATAACAGGTGTACCAGAAAGGGTCCATAAATCTGTTACCGAAAGAAATCTGTAAGCAGCAGTTGTCTTTGTTCCAGGAGTGCAGGCCAAGGAGGCCGACTTAGGCTTTCATTCTTAATAGACTGAAAGTTCTAACCATGTATAAACATTAATGAATGCTTTAACTCCAATTTTTCATTTGGAAATAAAACATATGTGCAAAAAGTGAATTAAATGAATTGGTACAGATTACAAAATAGTTTATGTAGCAAACCCTGGGTGCTTACATAGCAAACCCACAGGGTGCTTGCGCACCTAGTCTTCCCACACAGCCTGTAGTCCCAGACTCTCCAGTGGTAAGAACTGCCACCCTACTTCAGGCACAGACCCATGCTCCCAGTGTCACCACCTGCTACATTCACACTTTATGCAACTGAATCAAAAATCTATGCGCCTGCTTCCTTCCTCCACTCAGGAGCTTCTGTAACATTTACCCCACAAGTAGCTGTTTATGTCTAAATTGGTGTTGCCCGAACCATAGGTCATGGGCTTTTCTCCATAGCAAGAAGTAAAAAGAGGGCCAGGTACTTAGTTCAGTGGTGCTGCCACCTGCCTCACAAGCTCAAGGTCCCAAGTTTGATCCCCGATACCAAAAAAATAATAATAAAAAGATTAATAAGCTGGTGGGTTGGCCGGGGTTTTAGCTCAGTGACACCACACCCACCTTGTAAGTGCAAGGTCCTAAGTTTGATTCCTGGTACCCAAAAAAAAAAGATTAATATAAGCTAGCTATTTTTAGCTATCATTGTTCATTGATTTATATAATTTTTCTATTTCAATTTTAAAGTAAAATATATTATTTCTTTTAAACACTGAGAGTTCATAATCCTTTATTAAAATAATATCTCAAAACTGGGTCAGCCAACAGCAGGTCTTGGGTCAAGTCCAGTCCCACCTGCTTTTGTATGGCCTCCAAACTAAGAAACACTGCTACATTTGTGTGTTTTTTAATCAAAAGAAAATGACTTTGTAACATGTGAAAGTCATATGAAATTCAGTTATCAGTGTCCCTAAATGCTTTACTGAAGCACAAGCATGCTCCGGTCACATGTACACAGTTGCCTTCACATCAGCATGGCAAAGCTAAGCAGCTGTAACGGAGACACTACAGCCAGCTGAGCCAAACAGGAAGTGTATCACCCATTCCAAACAAACAGAAGAACCAGACTACAAATTAGTTTTGAAAATCTAGAGCCTAAAACTAAAGAGAAGAACTTGCCATCAACCCAGCCAAGCTGGGAATCTGGAAGACCATACCAGAGTCCCGTAGCTGCCGAAGTACTCCTCATCCTGCCATGTGTCCTCAGGGTCATACTCCTCCACCTGCCTCCCCACGTGGTTCGCCGGGATGTACCCACAGCAGCCTGCCCGCTCACCCCACCACCAGTCGGCTGTGGTTTGTCTCAGGATAAGAATTTTTTCTCCCCTCAAAAAACTGAGCTGCAAAACAATCAGAAGTAGACAGACATTAAAATCCAACTGAGAAGCCAGTAACTTCATCTCAATGGTCAATGGGAGATAAACTCTTGTCCGTAGTGACTAAATCAGGGATTTCAAACAGGGTCCACAGCTAATTCCAGAAACAAATTACAAAAGTCACAGTAGCATTTAAGAGATATTTTGGGGAGCATCTATTTAAAAGAATTACACAGCTTAATTCATACTATTTAAAAGAAAGAGCATGCTGGGCATGGTGGCACACACCTGTGATCCCAGCACTCTGGGTGGTTGAGGCAGGAGGATCACAAGTTTGAGCATAGCCCGGGCAACTTATCAAGACACTGTCTCAAAATAAAAGGTTAAAAAAGTACCGGGATGTAGCTCAGTGGGAAAGCCGTAGGGTTGAACCTCAGTATGAGAGACAGAGAAGAGAAAGGGAGAGTGGGGAAGGCAGGCAGGCAGGCAGGGTAAACATTTTTAAATGGTTCTGGGCAAAGCTTTTCAACAATCCTTCATCATACACAGTTATGCAGTCGCAGACTCAAGTCACAGGAGGCTGGCTGTTACAGAATAAAGAAAGCAGTGTCCAGGCTTTCTCTGCTCTGGAGAGCCTCTAATGGTGGGTCTACAGTGTGATTTTCAAGCAGCATGGGAGTCAGTGCTTCTCCCTGCATGGAGCCAAGGGCCCCACTCCTCACCCAGGTATGCTTGCATCCTACTGGGCCAAAATCTGTGAAGCCAGGAAACAAAGAAGATGCACAGATCTACATGGTTCTAAATATCCCACATTTCTTTTACTTGGTATGACACTGCAAAATTAACACCTAATTTTACCACTGAATATGTTGAAATCCATATATCACAGATGCTGTGTAGCTACCTGGGTCTCGTCAGTGGCAGCATAGTCCGCGATGGCCACAAACTCTTCTGGCTGTGGCTGCACACTCTCCTGTAGGAGCTGGGCCTCACCAAACCCCGTGGGCTCCTCTTCCTGCTCCTGCCACAAAAACACAAGGACAGCATCATCGAGTTCCTTCTTTTCCATATGGGTGATCAAAATGGGCTCAAATAAAGATTACCATGAGTAAAAATGAGAATCAAGATCTGTCATGTAAAGGTACAAGATCCCAATGATAAATGTAACTTTACTGTTACTTAAAAAGTACTAATAAACTCAATTAAAAAAAGACTCCTATGACTAAGAATTTATTATGCAAATCCCTCAGGTTTACAACCTAAACAGAATGTCAACAGGAGCAGCAACAAAAGGGGTATGAGACCCTTGGCTTTACAGGCAATGCTTCCTGAAAGTGAAAATCAGCATACAAGAGAAAAAAACTGTGCAAGAGTTTGGGTTCCAGGGACCTCTTCTCCCTAGGACAGAGCTGGTGGGCAGAGCCAAAGGTCTATGACAGGTGTTGTGGCCTGGCATAAGCCTATTACAAATATCTGTGAAGCCCAGGCAGCCACTGGGACCCGTGCTGCTGAGACTTAGAGGAACCCTGCCCTCTGCCACTTTCCATCAGGATCCATAGTCCTGAAAGACAGCCCTGGAGGTAGCCAGCCCCAAGCCACAAATCTCTGCTCAACAGAGCAACATATCCCAGTTGACACACTTTTTTTTTTTTTTTTTTTGGTATTAGGGATCAAACTCAGAACCTAGAGCTTGCAAGGCAGGCTGTGACACCATTGAGCTAAATTCCCAGACCCCAATTTACACACTTTTTTTTTCCTTTTTATTGAGTTTATTGGTACAATCTAGGTATACAATAGTTACATCCATTATTGGGATCCTGTACCTTTACATAATAGGTCTTGATTCTCATTTTTCCCCTTGTGCCTGCCCTCCCTTCACCCCCTCCTCGCCTCCCCATTTACAAACACTTTATTTCCATTTTTTCAGTTTCTCATATTTTTTTCCTCTCCCTTATTACCTTTCCCCCACCCTTCCCACTTTCCCTACACCTTTAGCCCTTTACTTCCTATTTCACATTATTACCTCATTAGGATCCTGTGTACTATTATAGTTTTTCACCCCAGAGAAACTATTCGGTATTTCAGTCAAAGAAATCTCTGTATGAACATTAAAAATAAGGGATCCTAATTACGCACTTTTAACAAGCATTCCTAAACATTAAAGTAATTTCTGCTCACTTTAGGAAATGTGTGAAGACACAAAAGAACAAAACAAAAACATACTGTAAACTCATTCTGGGATCAGATCACAGTTAACAAATTTGTATTTGTCCTTCCAGACTGAAGAAAGTGCACACTGACACATGCACAGAGCACTTGCTGGGATCACACTCTTGCCTTATGATGTTTCTCACTTCCTAGTGCCGAATATTTTCCCTCATATTCAATATGCTTCTAAACATATATAATTTGCATAGACATAGATATAGTGGTATCTTAGTTCACAAACTGAACTCTTTCCACAATTCTGGTTTCAAATCAAATTAGACATGAACCAAATCAAATTCAATGATTAGGTTCAATCTTGACCTCATGGAGAAATTTGATTCAGTTCTCATCCGATTTGGTTTGTGACCAGAATCATGGGGGAGAACTGAGTTTGTGAATTGAGGTACCACTTGTACTGGGACTGAACTCAAGGCTTTCATACTGAGCTACATTGCCAGCCACCCTTTTTTTTTTTTAATTTATTCATTTTTTGCTACCGGGGATCGAACTTAGGACCTTGCACTTACAAGGAAGGTGGCAGAACCTAAATCTGCAGCCTGCTTTTTTTATTTTTTATTTTGTGAAAGGGTCTTGCTAAATTGCCCAGATTGAACAAGAATTTTAAATTCTCCTGCATGATACTCCCAGAACAATGGGATTCTGGACATGCACTACCACACCCAGCTCCAATCAATCTATCTATCTATCTATCTATCTATCTATCTACATAGATACAGATATATTTCGTATTGGGGGTCAAACTCAGGACCTTGTGCTTGCAAGGCAGGGGGCAGCACCAATGAGCTAAATTCCCAGCCCCAATCAATATATTTTTGATAGTAATATAGTAGTCTGTGAACTACTGTAGTTTATATAATCTCCTAGTTTCATACATTTAGACTTTCAGTTTCTTCTATAATTATGCAAAGATCAACTTTCTTAAACAAAAATCCTATTGCCTGCCCCAACAATTTTCTTAGAATAAATTCCTGAGTGTGAAAATGATGAATCAAGACTCTTCAGGCCTTCATGACTTTTGACTATATCATCAAATGCCTTCAGAAAGGCAGTTTCTTGCTTCCTTGTGGCAAGTGGGGTTTGGCCACGTGAATGGCAACTACAAGCTTCCCTGTACCCTCATCAACAATAGATATTGATCACCTTCACCTTCACCAATTCCCTGGCTAAAAATCACCTTTATATTACTTCAACTTGCCTTTATTAGTGTGGTCAAGCATGTTTTTTTAAAGTTCTGATTGGTCATATTTATATTTTGCTAATAACCTACTGCAAACTTCATATTCTCCCTATTGCAGTTCACCACTCCTCTCCCACCTTCCTCAAACACCTGCTCCATGCTCAACACAGACACCTGCATTCACACTCACATGCACACAACGGATTTTTATTTCTTTTTGTATATTTTTTTTTGTATTTTGCTTTTCTTACACAATACCTTTGAGGAAAACTTTGGTATTTTCAATGACTATACAATATTTAATTCTGATTGATTTGTCAACTATCCTCTACTGATTTTCATTTGGTATCATTTCCTATCACTAAAAACCATGCTAAAACAACAACAAAAAAATGTGCACATGTCTCCATATGGAAAGACATTTTTTTTTCCTACAGGAGAATGGGTGGCCAGAAAGATCAAGAATTATTCAAACATGTCAGAACCTTCACATACAGGATGTACCACTCCCCACTTCACCAGCAAAACACAGTACCTTCTGTTGAACACCCAGCAGCAAAAGGCATCATCACTGCCTCTAATATTTGGCAGTGATGGGTATACTGTTGATTTCAATTATTTGGTCACATTGTTTTCATGGTTTTTGGTTGCTTGAATCTGCTCTTCTGTAAAAGGCCTCTTTATTTAGTTTGCCTGGTGTTTAATTTGGCTATTTGCTTTCTACTTAACAGATTGAAAGAATTTTTTGCATAATATATCTTATTTTCAATCTTGAACAAATGTTTTCTAAATTTATACTGTCACTATAGTTTTTCAATATTAAGTCAAAGTCAATACATACACAAAAAGATGAAAAACACATGAGACAGAGGGCAAGACATGTAAAACTAGCAAAAACCTCTAACTTGTATGCAAGCAGAGTCCCTCCAGAAAGAGAAGGCAGGAAAAATAACTGAAGAGTAATGGTAGAAATTTTTCTAAAATTAAAAAACACCTCAGATTCCAGAAGCTTGACTAAACTCAAGCAAGATAAATACAAAGAAAATTGCTGAAAACAGAGAGAGAGAGAGAGAGAGAGAGAGCGCGAGCGCTGAATGAAGCCAGTGGGAAGAAAAAAACAGAGTTCACAGCAATTAACTGAAGAAGACAGCAATGACTTCTCATAGGTAACAATGGAGCCAGAAGATGATGAAATGACATATTCTAAATGTTGGAAGAAAAAAACCTCAAACCTAAAATTCCATTACAAGCTAAAATATACTTCAAAACCGAAGTCAAAAATATTTTTACTCACACAAGGCTGACATAACCTGATCAACAAGCCCACGTGATTAACTACAAAAATAGGCTGTTCGTGTTGAAAGGAAATGAGCACAAAGAAAACAAAGAGTGTAGGAAAAACAGAAAGGCTACCACAGAGGTAAGTGCATAAAGAAATATAAGACACTTTATTTCTAAAATGGCTTTTGACAGTATAAAGCAATAATAGTAATCTATTCTGGGGCATATAACATGTAGAATTAAAACAATGTACAACAGGATGAAAAACTATGGGAGCTGGAAAATGTAACTTGTAAGACTTTTACACTGTTGTAAAGTTAAAAGAACATGAAAAAAGAATGTATACTGAAATTTCTTGGGAAGCCATTAAAATAATATATTAAAAAGTATAGCTAACAAGCCAATAAAGGAGATATGTAATTACAGAAAATATTTTATTAATGCAAAAGGGCAGGAATGGAGAGATGCACAAAGCAGAACTGTGACAAACAGAAAAGAACAAGATGTTAGACTAAATCCTATCAGTCATTACACTAAATATTAACGGACTAAAATACTCCAGTTGAAGTGTAGAAGTCATTTTACAAGAAGGAAAAAAGACCCAAGAGCTAGACCAAGGTAGCTTTCTACAAGAAAAATGCTTTCAGTACAAGGACCTATGGTAAGTTAAAGATGTATGTATATAACTATACATACCATACAAGCACCAATCATTAAGAAAGCTGGTACAGCTAAGTAAACATTTGAAAAAGCATATTCAAAGCAAAAATATTTATAGAGAAGAGACTTTATAAAAATCAAAATCAATTACTCTAGGAAATAAAATCCTAAATAAATGAACCCAGTAACATGGGCTCAAAATATATGAAACAAAGAATAACAAAACCAAAAAGAAAACCAGACAAATCTACAGCTATAGTGGAATTTTTTTTTAAATCTCTCAATAATTGATAGAAAAAGTGGACAAAAATATCAGAAAAGATACAACAATTAATTTATTTTTTGAGGTGGATTCTTGCTCAAACTGCTGGACTCTGGTGATCCTCATACCACAGTATCTAGAACCTACAGGTGTGAAAAACTGCATTCAGCCAACAGAGAGCTGAACATTAACAACCCGTATGATCTTAATGACATTCACAGAACACTACACCTGACAATTGAAGGACAGAGTCTTTGAGGTGCACATAAAATAGCACCAAAGTAACCCATGGTCATAAAGTAGCCCAGAATAAATTTCAAAGGAATAACATTATAAAGTCAGTCATATTCTCCCACCAAATATAATCAAACAAAAATTAAGTAACAAAATGGTAAGTCAGTTTTCCCAAATGTTTGGTAATAAAAACACTTCTAAACAGCCTAGAAAATTTCTACCATGATACTGTATATTTTAAAAATCCTAACAATAAAAAATGTTACGCCTTTGAATGTGTGAAGTAAAATAAAGCAGTAGTGATCAAAGAAAATATTCTATCTTTGAAGACATAAATTAAAGAAGAAAGGTTTAAAAATCAATGATCTAGGCTTTGATCTCAAAATGCTACAGAGGGCTGGGGATTTAGCTCAGTGGTTCTGCCCCAAGTGTAAGGTACCGAGTTCAATCCCCAGTACCAAAAACAAACAAAATCAAAATGTTACAAAGAGAGAAAATTAAACCAAAAAAAGAATAGAAAAAAAGATAAAGCAGAAATCAATAAAAGAGAAAACAGAGTAAAGACATTCAACAGACAATACTGGTTCTCTGGAAAGATAAAATAAAACTCTAAGAAGACTGATGATTAAAAAATGCTAAAACAAAAATAACCAATTATCACCAAACTTTTCTTCTATAGTGGAGCATGTATTAACAGGGTTACTGAAACATTACTAAGATTCACAAGGAATCAGGAAAATAAAAGAATACCCTTTCTAAACCCTCCAAATGACCAAAATTAAAGAGTCTGATGCCATCAAGTGTTAGCACTACTGTGAGCTCCTGGAGACCTGTGAACCACTGTGGCTACTTGGAGGAACAACTAATTTTTCCCCAGTGAGAATGAGTGTGAGCAATTCCTTAAATGGCAATACCATCGATGGAGCACAATGGACAGACGCAGGCGCCACACAGTGCTGTGAGATGGGGAAACCTGGAAATACATTAAGCATCCAGCAAAAGGGGAACAGATAAAATGAAATACAAACCTACTGTGCAAGGGGAAGAACGCAACAGGCCTGCACACACACCTAGGAAAGCAGAGTGTTCACACAAAGCACATGCATACATACCGGAGAATGCAGTGTGCTCACACAAGAAACAATGACAAGAACCAAAAGTATTGAGGCTGAAGCAGCATGACACACTACCAACAAGGATAAACCCCCCAGAAATAGTTACATGAGAAGGGCAATCACAGGTGACAGAGAGTATGACATTACTTACTCAAACTTTAAAGAGCGCACACAAAACAATATGATAAATTGTTCAAGGTGGCATTAAAGCATAAAAACCAGTGCAGCAGAAGGCTGGGAACTGGATTTTAGCTCAGTGGTGCCACCGCCTGCCTTGCAAACACAAGGTCCCAAATTTGATCCCCAGTACAAAAAAAAAAATCAAAAACCAGTGAAGAAGCACACACATCAACTTCCTAATTCACAGAAGTATTTGCCTCTGGAGAAAGAGGAAGAGTATGAGTTTCAGGAACAAACTTCTATCTACAGTATCATTATTTCATATGTGTGTATGTTCTGAGACAAGTATAGCAATATTAACAACACTAAATGTGTACTCTACTCCATGTTTGCAATATTATTCTATAAATGTTCAAATATATAAATTTCCCAAAAGAAAAATAGGACATCCATGGAAAAAATTTTATGACTAATTATATTAGCAGACCAATGAAATAAGCCAAATATAAATAAAATTCCTATATATAAAAACCCAAAGTAAAACCATCATTAAAACAAAGAAAATACTAAAATTGATATCAGACATGAAAATGATTTTTAAAACACTGTATATTGCAGTATTCATTTGTTAATTGCACATAATCATTCTTTAAAATTTAAGTGATTTTACTGCTAACTTGAATAAACCTGTACATGTATGTAATGCAGGCAGAAATAGCTTTCCTCTGATGCCAGGCCTACCTTCAGCACTGCCAGTTCTGTGCCTGCAACTTCACTGAACACTTGAGAACTAACTGAGGCTTTAAATCTGCAGCCCTGGATAACTATGCTGTTTGAGGCACAATAAGCATTTCCTTGGAAGCACTTATGTCAATGGAGAATGTTGAAGACTCACATCAACTCTATTTCCCCATTTAAATTTAAGCATTGTAGGGTTGGCAGCCACCTTCCAAGGGAAAAGAAACATTCCTCCACCACACCTGTGAGCCAACACATAGCAAGCACTCTGTACGTTCAAGTTCACAAAGCAAGATGTACCATGTACAGTTACAAATCCCCTATGATGAATGTTATCATTACGTATACTTAAAATGTACCAATAAATGTTTTGCTGGGCCAGGGATTTAGCTCAGTGGTACTGCCACCTGCCTCGAAAGCACAAAGTCCCGAGTTCAACTGCTGGTGTAAATGAATGAATGTATTTTTCCTTCAAAAAAAATTCATGAAGCACAGGCTCTTACATACCAGAACCACAGTTACCTGCAATTCACTTTGGGGACAGTCAGCTGGTGTCGCCATAGTTCACTTAAGCACTGCCTCATAACTGATGCTTTCATTATTTCATTTTCCCGTCCATTTCTACTTTAAAAGAGAGAAGTACAAAGTACATGTTACACTGCTTGATAACTAAGTTCACTTCACCTCTAAATCCCTTGATAAAGATCCTCTAACAAAAAAGCATGTGTCAGACTGGAGATTTAGCTCAGGGGCACTGCACCTACATCTCAAGCACAAGGTTATGAGTTTGATCCCCAAAGTTCCAAAAAAAAAAAAGTAGGGGTACCAACAGCATAGAAATGGAATTTATCATCACAAATCTTTGGGAACAATCAAAAGCATTTAAAAATTATACAAACTTCAATTTGTGCTTTCTCTACTCCCCACAGTGCTAATCTTACTCCACAGGTTGTTAGTTTGTTACATCGCCATGCTGATTTGCGACAATAAATCCATACACGTTCTCTCCCTAGGACTCTGACAGCTTTAACTCCATTTAAAGTCCACTGTCGGGCCTTCGCTGTGTTCTCACCTGCAAACTAAGGCCAGCTCACTCATACCCTTTCTCTCTCAACCTCAATTTCCAAGGGCACAACTACGTTCTGAGACGCCTGTATTTTTCAGTTACAAGCAATCCTTCGTTTAAAATTGTGCTTTACATCTAGATCAAGGCTGCTACTAGTTTATATACATTTTTCAAGGGAGAGCCTGAGCCAGGGATGGCGTAGGCGAATGGAGTAGACAGGTCTCTGCATCTGGGCGAGGGCTGGGAGGGGCGTGGCTCCCATTCAAAGGGTTCCAGCAGGCACGAACATGGGCGTGGTCGTGGAAAATAATGGCGTGGGACCCGACGTTCGAAGAGGGCGGGCACGGGAGTGGGCGGGGCGGGCGCAGAATTCGCGGGGGAAGGGGGCCGGGGCTCGGAGCCACCATGGCGCTCGTGGAGATCTCCAAAGAGACCGGGGGCCTCGGTCCACCAGCAACGAGTGCTCAAGGCGAAGATCCCTCATTGAGGATGTCCTGCGTCACTTGCAGTACAGCCACTTGAGCTGGCCATCAGAAAACCTACCTCGGTTGTGTTTCTCCGTTGAATTTAGCGTCCGCGCCGCAGAGGGGCGTGAGGTCCCAACCCGTGCCACCGCCCTCCACCCGCGCAAGCGTAGTGCGCACGAACGGGCTGAAGAGTGGATCCCGCCCCGGGATGACGTCACACGCAGGCGCAGTCCGAACGTGCCTCGCGGTGTGAAGCCAAACTGCCGCTCAGGATCTACACAGCCAGGGGGCGCACACGCAGTCCTCGGGGAAGGCTCCGCCCAGGGCTCAGCGCAAGCGCACTTTATGGCCACGCCTTCGCGCCTGGCGGGGATTGCGCTGCCGCGGGGTGGGGGGCAGCCACGTCCAACTGCGGCCAACTAAGTTGTGGTGCTTGGTGGGTCAACTAGCGTCGTCGCTGACTTAAGGAACAGGCATCGCTTCCGGTGCTCTCTCAGCGGCCATTCGGAGACTGCGCGGATTCCGCCGATCAGGCGGTGACTTACCCGAGCGTTATCGCTAGGTTCCGGCGCGCCCTAGCGAGCGGTGGGGGCGGCGGTCCCCGGCCCCTGCCTCCGCAGACCGCTCGGCTCGGGTATCTCCGAGCGCATCTGGGCCCGAAAATGATGCGGCAGTGTCACCTGTGCAGTGCCCTGAAGAAAAGCCTTGGACGAGGCCAGGGCCTCGCGGCTTTCAGAAGAACGCTTGAAGGTCGGACCTGAGGGGAGGTGAGCTCGAAGGACTGCGGGCCGCGCTGCGTGTGTGCACCCACGGCCGCAGCCTCCGAAGACCTCTGTCTGGTTTTGTGGGTCTGTTGGAAGAAAAGCTAAAGAGCTGAGCCAGAGCCCCAAAGGCTGACAGAGGCCCGCCATGGTCTGACGAGGGTTCTCAGAAGCTCAGGAGCAACAGGCTGGGTCCAAAGTGGAATGGACTGCAGAAACCAACTCTGCATCTCCAACTCAGCCCCCAGCAGCTTGACGAATTAGGAGAAGGCCTCTCCCTGACAGACGATATTAGGCATAAGTATAACATACAGTAAAACTACTACAAGATGTGTGAAGAGGCAGAGAAAATAAGGTAGAAATACAGATGATCCAGATTCTGGAGTTAGCAGATAAGGACATTGATATAATAAAAATTGTAATGTTAAAATTTAAGGGAAATTGGACAAAATGGACATGATGAGAAATTGACAAAATAGGGACATACTTTTAGGACAGGCTCAACTGAAATCAATACCAGAAATGACCAACACGTGGCAGATTGGATGCAGCAGAAGTAGGAAGAGCCTCAAATATATCTGAGGAATATATCCAAACTGTAGCACAAAAAACAAGTGGGAAAAAGCATAGCATGAGAGAGTATTAGGTTTTACATATTATTGAATACCCAAAAAGAGGTAAGGTTAAAACAAAAGCAGTATTAGAGAAAATTGCCAAGTTCAGTAGAATCAAGCCAGAATATATACAAAGAAAAATTGCAAAGTCACATCACAGTAAAATTGAAAATCAGTAAGTTAGTGACAAAATCTTAAAGGTACCAAAAGGAAAAAGACCCATTACCCAAAAGATCAGTAGGTTAGAGCCAATTTACCACAACTTACAGGAACCACAGGATAATGAAAAAACATTCTTAAAGTGCTGAAAATCAAACTGCTGAACTCAACTGACAGGATCTCTAGATTCTGAGTTTGTGTTCCCCAAAACTGAAGAATAAATTTTAAGGAACAACGAAGGTGAAGAGTAGCAAATATTTATTGAGAGGGAGAGATTTTAGCTCCTGAGAGACAGGAAGAGGCCTAAGTGGGTTGCCACAGGCCCCACTTTGCAAGGGCAGTTTAATACAGCAAAATCACATGATGGCTGTATAATCATGAGGTAGGTACAATGTGGAACAAAACTATGATCACCCAGTAAGATTATAAGTATAGCCACTTAGGTAATACTGATTAATACTGATCTAAAGTGGAAGCACTGTAATTAAACCTGAATACTGAGGTTTTAGTTTAGGGAAAAAAAAAAAAAAAAACATGCTCAGCTGCTGGAGTGACTAGGCTCACATGCTCTAGGTTCACCACCACTGCCACAGACTAATTTATAAACAACAGAAGTTCATTTGGTTTGTGGTTCTATAGGCTAAGAAATCAAGGAGCTGCATCTGGCCAGAGCCTTCTGGCTGCATCATAACATGGCAAGAGAGAATGTTAAGAAAGCAAGCCAGAGAAAGCTAAACAAATTCACTCTGGTGACAACAAACCCCTTTTTTTTTTCCTTTTGCCATACTGAAGATTGAACATAGGGCCTTTGCACTGAGCTGCATTCTCAGCCCTTTTTATTTTTTGAGACAGGATCTTGCTTAGTCACTAAGTTGCCTGGGCTGAGCTCAACCTTACCATCTTCCTGGCTCAGCCTCCCAGAGGCCTACATGACCACACCTGCCTAACAGATCAACTTTTTTTTTTTTTTTTTTTTTTTTTTTTTTTTTTAAAAATCACTATGTACCAGACACCCCCCGAACTCACTGTGTAGCCCAGGTTGGTCTTGAACTCACAGCAATCCTCCTGCCTCAGCCTTCCTAGTACTGGGATTACAGGTGTGCGCCACCAACTTGGCTAACAGATCAACTTTAACAATGGTGAGAGTCAAAGGCAGAGCCCACACACACACACAGAATCACCTTGTATAAGTCCAACTCTCAACACAGTTGCACTGGGTATGAGGTTTACAACATACAAATGTATGGGACACATTCACACCATGGCACTCACCTTTTGCTTTTATTTACATCTTTCCTGAAAGACAGTAAAAGTAATGAATTTACAAAAAGAACTACAACCAAAAAAATCGTACAAGAACACTCTTGTGCCTTTGAGGAGCAGGGTATTTCCATGTGCTGCAGGGCCTGAGGTCAGCATTGCAGCACAGTAGGGACTTGGACTTTAGAGGCAAACCCAGGTGCTGACCTTGGCTTTGGCCCCTACCAGTGATGTTACCAGACTATGTTACTTTCTTTCCATATACTGTTTCGTTCTTTTTTTTTTTTTTTTTTTTTTTTTTTTTTTTTTTTTTTTTTTTTTTTTTTTTTTTTTTGGTTTTTTGGTATGGGGATCGAACTCAGAACCTTGTGCTTGCAAGGCAGGCAGCAGAACCACTGAGCTTATCCCTAGCCCCTACTGTTTCATTCTTGATAGTGAAGAAATACTAATAGGCTGAGCTCTGAGACACCAGCTGAGTTTCTCATTTTTGTCCAGGATTCATATGCTTATGCTTTCTTCTGGGTGTGACTTGTCCCATGGGTGATTTTGCAGCCCCAAGGACTCTATTTGACCCAAGAATGAATCTCACCCCAGATGACACCTCCAAAAACAGAAACAAGCCCAGGGGTGTATCTGACCATTCTCTGGGGAACCCTCAACCTCCAGGATCTAGACAACACTCTGAACCAGCTCTGGGCAGCAGAGCACACTCACGTTTGAGAAGTGCTGACCACACTTGGCAGCAGCCCTCTACCTAGTGGGAGCATCAACACGTATATGCCCAGGTGGGGAACATTGGGTACACAAATCACCCTGCCAGGGATTCAGCTGGTTGGTAGGTTGCAAAGTCTGCCCATGAAAGAGTTACCCAAAGTCTTGCTTAGGGTGGACTCTATGGCCTGACCTGTACCCTGCCCAGCTCAGGCTGAAGGCAGAGCCACACAGCAGGTGTTGAGTACACAGGCAGCAGCCTGTCTCACTCTGGAGGTAGTTCAACACTGGGTACATACTGTCATCCCCAAAGGCTTGAGTTTTTCTTTGAAAAATTGTGATTACCATAGCACGGTCCTTGCCTGCTTCTGTGTCCCACAGCCCACCAGGAAGCAGGGTGCAGCTCTGGCAAGCAGGGCCTCTGCACCTTTTTGAGGAGCCCCATAGGAAAGGACCAGGCCACTCCAGGTCCCCAAAGGCTGAATCCAGAAGATTGCTGCAAGAATCTTGCTCATGAAATCTTGAAAACTGCTTCAGTATATTAAATATATATTAGACTGGTGATATAAAAATGTTTCACAAGACACGTTTAGAAGTATTGTGACAGATAAATGTGAAACAATGTTAGCAGGCATGTTATAAAAATCATATCCATTTTATTATGGAGGTTACTTTAACTCCAAAAAGGATCTTTCAATTGTTTTATCTACATATCCTCCAATGTTTTATTTATATTAGCACTCAGTTAAACTATTAGATAATAAATATGCCTTTGGACAGATTGCAGTGATACTAACCTGTAAATAAATACAGTGTCATCCTCTGTACAGCGCCTTTAACCTAAAGTGTTCTCTAAGTTATGAAAACTAATGAAAAGAAATATTTGTGGCAGAGTCTGCGAAAGTCAAGACTAAGTTTTCTTTTGAATATCTTCCCCAGCAACAGCTCAAACATCACAGTGATGGTCCCTTAAGCAGTAAGCCTTCCAGCACAAATGCCAGGAAAATGGCTTTGTGTGGCTCTCTTCAGCCTTCTCCTCCAGGCCCTCCTAAGAATGTAAAAAAAAAAAAAGAAAATACAAACAAAGGCTCAGTTGTTTTGAGCTAGCGCTCAGGTTGCCATGGATGCAGAGGACCGAACATCAGGCTGCTTCACTCTCCAGGCTCCAGGCTCCATGCTGGGGCCTGCTCTTCTGGAAGGGATACTGATTTCAGACTGAAACCAAATGAATTTATAAAATTTAAGTGGTGCAAAAATAACAAAATGTGATATCCATAAAGTACTGATACTCTGTCACCATTTGCCAAATGGGAACTCCTGGATTCAGTCTAAATTAGCCAGGGAGTTCACTCTGCACTTTTGGACCCAACACATCTGGCTCAGAAGGACATCTTGTCCTACTATCTACTGTTCTTTGCTTGCTTTGGCTGCCTTATGTACCAGGAGTTCACTTGACCATTCTTAATTTACTCCTTCTGATAGAGAAAACTTTTATAAATAGCAAAAAACCTACAAAGTGTCAAATGTAGAAAGGCTTCTGCTGTCTCTAACAGCAGTTTGTTTTGTTTAGTTCAGAATTAACAGACACTTAGAGGCATTAACCTCTGCATGTGGCATTTGGTCTTATCCTGAGATAACAGGGCACGTGAAGACTCTGAGCTTAGAAGCTCTATAAATCACATGATTGTAAAAGTATCAAGATGAAAAGAACCATTGTTAACATTTGCTTTCCTGACCCTAAATACCCCCCTTCCTATGGGCTAGGATAGATAGCCAGGTGAAAGTTAAAGGTAAACTCCCCTAACTACAAAGAAGTGCTACATCTGGGTTGAAATTTAACTGTCTAGTGACCATGATTTGTATATCAGCAATGTGAACTGTGAGAATAAAATGTAAGCACCCCAATTATGTCAAGGCTGTAAACTCTATAGAAGAAGGAGTTGTAACCCAGTGCATGATCAATCCTGGCACTGCTTTTAGGTGTGATGAACCTTTGTTGGCAAAATAAACTTTTCTTATTTT